ATTGTATAAAGACGAATTGCAGCACTTTCATTAACTGTTAATCCATCGGGCGGTTGTTCAGGAGTTTCTTTTAATGCTACGTCAACATAGAATGATAAATTATGAAAGATATCATTTAATGGAGCACATGCTTGTGCAAGTGGTAATAAAGGTTCTTCTGCATATCCTAGAATAGGACTTGGATCTTTTCCATCACTTTTAAGATTTTCTTTATTAATTTTTTTTGTATTATGTCTATTTCGTTGATTAGATCGATTTCTGTCAGTATTCGGATTTGCTGCTGATCTTCCTGTTTGTCTTCCACCACGTGTTACTTCTTGATTGACATTTTCAGCTGTCCCATCTACCGGATGTGTTGGATTATTCCTGGCATTGCCTCTTTGATTTGTTGCCTGTTCACGCTCGTTCGTTACATTAACATCCAAGACAATATCTGTAGATATTGTTTGTATGCCAATATCTATAGTCTGTTTGTATTCTCGATAATTTTGCGATTCATCATCGAGTCTGTTTGCAGTTAAAATAGTTTGTATGTAAACATCTCTGCTAGCTGTAAGTTGATCATCGAGTGGAACTTCTGTTTCTATTGTAGATACAGGAATATCGTTGGTTTCCATTGTTTCCAGCTGTGGATAATCGTCCATATTTCGTAATGAATATCTATAGATTTCAAATATTATTGTTGTCTTTCAAGATAGAAATATGAAGAAAAAAAATCTATCTATATGAGAATGTATATTTTAAAATCATATAATTGAAGTTGGAGATTTATTATAACAGAGTAACACAAAAAATATCATTATTTTTCTTATTTTATAGGAAAATGATTATATAGGACATTAAAAATAATAAAATGTCATAAAATATTATTTAAAATATGGGTGGAATGAGGTAACTACTAAAATCGATTTTTATATGATAATTAATATTTTTTGTAATATTTACCGTTAAAGAATATTGAAAAACGATTGAAATGGAAAATGAATAGATGTGTATCGTAAGTAGTTATGTAAAAAAAATAAAA